ATATTTATTTATGTTTTATATGACAAGCCTTGTCATGTTTAAACTTCTATGTAACATGGGACTGAAGACCATTCGTTCTATGGTCTTTCTTATTAAGAAAGTCACCAATTGTACTTGTACCAAAAAAACAAAAAATGTATAAATATATATATATATTTATATATATATATTATATATAAAAAATGAGTTAAAGGGACGAATGGTGTTATTATTGTATCAACCATGGCTGAGCTGGTTCAACGATGAATATGTTCTAATCGGTTGTCTGAAAAATGATGCTTTCGGTGAGATTTTCGTACTCATTGAAGAGTACGATTACAGTGTTCCTTTGAGCACTGCTCATCACATAACAATTTGTTTACATATTATGTTTATGCTTTTTTGTTTCATCATGTTTGTTGTGTTAAGTTTTGTTTACAGTAGTATTCTACGTAGTAGTAGAGCAGCAGTAGTAGTAGCAGCAGAAGTAGTTGTAGCACTAATAATAGTGCACATTCAGCAACAAGTTAATAATAGATTTATTGTTAAATCATTATACTGGTAGGCCCATTACTACCTGTTCTCACGTGATACTCTCGCCATAATAACCGAAAATAACAATCCCGGAAATTCCAAGAGGATTATATCTTAATATTTTATAAGCCTATAGCCATCCAATTTAACTTAACTACGGTGAAATAATTTTCATCAGCAATCGCCATTACCGCACTGTTGGCCTCAGCCGATTTTCTTTACTATTACTATTTACTATTACTCCCAAAAACCGTACGATTTGTATCAAGATGATAAAAGATTACGACATACACGGATGGCTGACATAAATACCAGAAACAAAAACATACACACACGTAAAACACTGAAAATATCGACATTATATCTAAAACTAAGAAACATACCTCATTTAATATGCGTGGTATCAGTATCAACACAGGATCGTTCTCGTAGCTTGAAATGAATGTTATTTGAATTTAAACAGCTAATCGTGTAAAAATATATCGTTGGCGTAGTAGTACTCTAGAAGTTAATGGGGTTTTATGGTAGCTCATGCGTACACATGTGTATTTGTGATGCTAACTAGCGCCATTCATAAACATCGATCTATTGTGATTGCAACACAAAGGTATCTGTGTGACCATGGAGTATGGTGTGACGAAGGACACGGATTACGTTGATGCAAAGAGGGCGCATTATAAATTATTCTGAGCCTACTTTACTATCAACATGGAGGAAATTAAAAACTAATTCCATGCTATCAACATTAGCCATAGATGATTCATATTGGTATATTTGATTAAAGTAATATTACTTAGTAAAAATAACACCTCCATCTAAAAGTCGGTCATAACCTTTGAAAGGATTACTTATTATAAATACAGTACAATTTTCTTTTCTAGATAAGATAAGATAAACTTTTATTGTCCATCAACATGTTGAAAATTCCGAATAGTTGGTTATATTTTGGCTGCGCTGCGTGGACCCATGACGCAGCGGCAGTGCAGCAAATATTCTTTGAAATTAGGTCTCATTTGAGTAGGCCTATATTTAAACAAAATATTGATAAATAAATTACTGATCATATTAGTCCTACACATGCTTAAGACTCGGAGTCATCTGTACTCTTTAAGTTTATAAAATTGGCCTGTAGTAATTAATCGACGATTACACTTTATAAAGAATCTAGGTAACTTTCTTTAAATATTTATATATATTATATATTTTATTTCTGCAGAAACCCGGAGAGCTTCTTGAGAGAAATGGACTAGTTTCACTTTCGAGTAATCCTTCCGGATTCTTTAGCTGACCTTAATCTTCAAATCGTTTTCTTTTGTAAGTTTAATTTATTTTTTTGTTTGTTTTTATGGAGAAAGACAAGTCCACCAGGCCTTTGTGAGAGCATACAGTAGGCCTGATTTAAGGCAAAGCTGCTGCGTTATAAAGAACAAATAAAAATAAAATAATTAGCCCTATGTCTGAATAAGCCATTATTTTCGAAAATAATCACACATTTGTTTAATCACAATCGATAATTTTAACATCTTATTCAAATGTAAATGCTTATCATGGACGTACCTCCATGCTTATACAGTGTAGTGGCTCCGTAGCTAATTAAACTCTCCCAGTGTGTCAACTCGACATACGGAATTCAATTAGAAAAAAATGAAATTGAAAATTAATTCGAATCCGATTAGATATACTTGTAATACATTATCATGTTTCATGTCTACTATAATATGAGACACATTGTTAATATTATTACATAAAAAATGGTATGATTTATAGATCGTATTATTTCTTCATTAGCAGTTGTAGTGTTGGAGGGAAAAAAGTCTTTTGTGAATAAATTCGCCGCTAGCTATACATAATTACCTGTCATAAACAGTGCTCCTTCCACTCTATGAAAGCCTCACTTCAATATTAATCTTTTTTTGATGTATTTTAATACTCAGGCGCAGTATCATCATTGGAAAATAAAATAAAATGCCTGTTACATCGGGAGAGACTGGAATAGTTGGAGCTGGGGCTAAGATACTAGTCCTAGGGGACAGCGGTGTCGGAAAGACTCGGTTGGTTCGGCGCTTTGTAGAAGACACGTTTATTCAACGTTACGTTGCAACTGTTGGAGTTGATTTCAGATCAAAAGCTGTCAAGATTGGAGGTAAAGAGTTGGTACTGCAAATATGGGATACAGCAGGTCAGGAACGTTTCCGGTCTATGACAACTACTATTTTTCGCGGAGCAGAAGGTAATGTAATCCATTTTATTTCTTGTTAGGTTCGATGCCAAACTTACAAAATAATACATTTCTAATATTATTGGCATTATTAGTCGTTAGTGTGTTTTTATCATATCATTACATCAGTATTGTTATTATTGCTGTTATTGTCGTCATCACCATATCGTCATCAACAAAGATGTTGTTAATAGTCATGCGATGTGACATGGTGATGGCGATGATAGAGGTGATGGGACGTAATAAATGATGGATAGTGAAAAATGATGATTGCATGGTCATTGAGAATGAGGAAAGTTGTCCGACAGACATTATGTTGATTGAGACACGCCTCGTAATAGGCCTATTTTTGAATACATATCAACATTACAACCAAAAAATAATTAAATATTCCGACGAATGTAATTCTTCCATAACACCTGTATATGATAATGGTATGATTCATTTTGTTTAAACATAATGCAACAAATTGGCGCGTATTTCAATTAAATTAACCCGCATTATTTTCGTGATTGTTGTTTTTTGTGGTTAATTTGTATCGAACATTACATTCTGCTCTTCAGTTGCAAATACGGTACACTACGGCGCAGTCTCTCGCGGACTGACGTCAAACTAAAACGATAGGCCTACTTGATTATTCCTCCATGCTTTTAAATGTAATCAACCTGATTATCCGTGATCATTTAATGATTCGCCGATTATATTTGATATTTTTTTGTAAGATTGCGAAACCTCCATAACTACTCAGGTTGTTTTGCACACTAGTAACAGACTACGGTATTTAACTTATAGACTTAGGCATCATGCCATTCTTTATAATTCAAGGCGATTTACTTTGTCATATTCAGTAAACTGGTTTATATTATCTATGTCAATATCACAAATCAGTTCTACTCAATCAGTTTTATAGCCTATCATGTTTAAATTTCCATAAGCTTCCGAGATTTCTCTAGTTACTCAGACTCTTCAACGTAATTTTTTTCACAGGCGCCATTTTGGTTTACGATGTATCATCTAAGGCAACATTTGATCATCTCGATGACTGGATAGAGAGCATTCGAAGGAGCGCTGACCAGAACATACGTGTAGTTATCGTCGGTAATAAAATAGATAAAGAAGGCGAAGTTGAAGTTGACACACGGACTGGTAAGCGTTTTGCGGATCAAATCGGACTAAACTTTTTTGAAACGAGTGCACAGTCTGGTAAAAATGTTGACAAACCCTTCAAGAAATTAGCAAAGGAAGTAAACGAAGCAAGAGAGATCAAAGAAAAGCAGCTTTTTGAACAAAACACCAGTAACATTTCTAAAATGCCTGAAGGAAAAAAACCGTCTGGATGTTTATGCTAATATCGGTTTATGTTTAAATTTGTTTTCTATGGGTGTAAATCAGTACCGTATATCGTGTTTTTAATGTAATGAGGTGATTTGAGATTATACCTTTTACTACGTTTAGTCAATGGGCGACAATTCAGAGAAAGTATGGGTAACTAACGGAAATGTATGCAGAGTAAACGCGTTCGATACCGGTATGCAATTTACAAAAACGTGCAAGCTCACTTTGCTTTTTAATGCAATTCTTATTAAAATATTATAGTAGGCCTCTAATGAAAGAAATCGTGGCCAAAACATGAACTATTGATGCCCTAAAGTAGGTATACAGACTAGGTGTATTAAAAACCTAACGGTTATACTTTAAGTTCAGAGAATTTGTTAATAAAATTAAAATTTGTAATTAAAATACCGTGATAATTATAATACTGGTAATGTTTTGTAAATTTTGTCCTGTACGGTCATTTAAGTATTGTGTTTGGTAGCATTGTAGCAGTTAACTTTTTATCAATTTTGTTTTCTGCAGTTATTTATATCTTGTGCAATTGCGCACCCGTTTAAAACCATATCTGTCCGTTAATTACCCATGCGCGATTAACAAACAATGCCTTAAACAAATCGAAAGTGGCAAAACTCCGGGTAATCGCCAGGACCAACACAAATACAAACCTATATAAACATTAAAATACACTGAATAATATTAGATTATGTAATTTATATGTATTATCAGTGGAAAAATAATTACTAAAGTTTGGGTTATTGTAAATACACCTATATATTAATACTGGTAAGAGTTATATTTACGGCAATGTATATAGGAGTCGTGCTGATAATTTATTTATTGCGGTATAAAATGTACAGCAATTAAAAAATTACACTTATCTTGTTTTATATTAGTAAGTTTTTTGTATCGAAACTTTGTTTTCTCTTAAGTACGAATATATTATTGATAACTGTATTAACAATTACATAGCATATAATGATTGATCCTGCCAAATTAAAACTATAACTCGATTTCTTTTACATATGACTATTTTATCAAATTTGTCGCCTCACAAGTTACATGTGAATACTGGCCGTTATAACTGGAATATGTCAAATAGTTTTTGCTCAATAACGAATGCGACTGTTAGAGAAACTAATATATTTGAATTTGTCGACAGGGTTCCTGACTTATAAAAATGTTGCAGCAACACACCACCAAACAATTTTTAAATAAAATCAAATCATTCTTTATTGCAACACACAAATGAATGTTACAAAAGACGAAAATGGTTGAAGCTTAAAAATCAAATCTATCAGAATTCAAAAACAGTTCGACAAAAAGGACCCACATCACAAAATCAATAAAAACAAACATGGAGTTCAATAGGAAAATTGGCCAAAAAAAATATTTTGGTGCAACTGTTGGTAAATTTCGACGATACCACCCCATTCTGTAGGTCTATTGTACAAAAAAAAAAAAAAACATTCAGTACCAAACCACTCATTTCACTATTAAAAAAAAAATTCCTTCACATCTAACAGCAAGTATTTGGAATGATGCTTTTTAAACCAAGTCTCTTAGACTTATATATGGAGTGGAGTCGTTTTTGGTCGTGAGAAAAAGTCCTGCACTCCAAATTATGAATCACATATAAATGTTGAAGAATTATACAATTATACACCAGGATATCCTGGTGAATAAATAGAACATGTTAAGTAATAACAGGGGCGGATCCAGAGATTTTCTGACGTGGGGGAAGGGGAAAATTATGAAGTCCACTCCGCCACGCCCACCTCCGCCCCACCATGGTTGGTGTAAATAAGTGGTAAACAATCGAGCTCTCATCTCACCCACTGCTGGACCACCACTGCACTTCACGGGCACAGGCACTCATGCCCCCCCCCCCCTGGATCCGCGCCTGAATAAAGGTGAAAAGTATAAGTCAAACATAAAATTATTTAAACAAAATTCATTGATATTATTTTTCACTTGAGAGTTGATTTAAGGCTTAAACATGACGTGCAGGTGGTATAACATACAGTATGTTATTTTACCTTTTCTGTTTAATCATTGTTATTGGATTATTTCCACGAACACAGAGGAAGAGTATTATAATTGAAGCTGAATTCAATTAACAAGACAAACTTCCCTTGGATATAGGAGATTGAATTATGATATCACATTCACCGAAATTATTCATAAGAGTACACTGATGCTATTAACTCCACATTCATATGATTTTTGAGCAGGCGATGATGGGGAGATGGTAGAACTCAGACCATGACATTTACGTTGGCCAATATGTTTTCCATCATCAAATCGACTAAAATCACTAAATTTTAAATACAAGTCAATGTTACGTGCTACTCACTTACCTACTCTGAGACTGTTGTGCCCCGCAGTTTGAAAAAGTTTTGATCCGCCCCTGGCACACTTATAATTTAAACAGCATCCTGAACACCTCAATGCTTAAGTAAGGTAGCAAAGCACAGTATATTACTGTTCGTCATAAGCACACTGAAGTAAAGAAGCTGACGATATACTTCATAGTTTAATTGAAACAGATTTCTATGACAATGAAACAATCTTGTTTTATAATTCTTTGTTTGAGATGTAGTTACACCAGTCAATCGATCAATACATCAAAAAATAAATAAATCAGTCAGTCGGTATTTAAGACAATTCATCAATTAAAACACAACCAATGGATCGGACCCATTTGAAAATATATACACCCTATTGTATAAAAGTAAACACACAACTTTTTGCCGTCTCCCTTAAGCTTGGTTTCCTTAAAATCGCAACACTATTGATACGGTGTTTTTTTTTGTTTTTGTTTTTTTTACTGTAACCATTCGATTCGACCGACCAATCAGCATCAATGAAATCTGTCGGCGAAATCGTATAGCGATTGTATGGAATCAAGCTTTAGCACTACCATTTTATTGGAGAGGTAATGCTCTAAATGGTCAAAAGTGAAATTTGGAGAAAAAGTCGAGGACATGCTCTGCACCGATATGCCAAATATAGTCAGGTTTTTTTAAAAGCTAAAATCCTTTTAAGATGAGCAATGTAATAACAGAACCAGCGCCTCTACCGTTTTCAAGTTTGCACTTCTTGGTTAAAATAATGTATAGAATAGGAACCAAAATAAATAAACTTAACACATATTTCCCAGTAAACATTTAATCAAACAACAACTATATGGAAGAGATTAATAGACCAACTTCCTAATACATAAACCTAATAGAAAAAAAAAAAACTTGACAATGGTATGTGGTGCAAAAAGTAGGCCAGGGATCTGGGCATTCATTGAACTGTCGGAAACGCGAGGCTCCAGCAGTTTCACATTGCATTTGTCAAGAAACCCAAGGTATGTCTACGTTTTTCTCTATTATTAACAGTATCTGTTAAAGGAACTATTTTGATTAAAATTGGTCTGTGCTATGTCATACACAAACAATGGTCCCCGGGAAGCCATCATAGGATTACAGATCCAGCTAACCGACGATTGGTAGATTTTGAGTCAAGACACAATACCTAGCGGTACCTATTGCACCACACAATTTTGGCACATTTTAGAAGTACATTTCAGTAATGTGAACTAAATTTCTAAGGATTGTTCTTAAAATTTTCTTTTTATAATAGAGTACAGTATTTAATTTGCTCGAGAAAGCCCAGGTTCAGTACTGTTATATAACCTAATAATATGTATCGTCAGAGCAGAAAACATTGAGCAGGACACTTAATGACTTAACTTACTGTTTTGAAAAAGATTTTTACCAGTTGCAATCATAAAATTTTGAAGGTTTTTTTTTCTTTTTTTTAAAGAATTTTACATTTTCTTTGTACAAGATAGTATGTTTTCTTTTTATTTCCCCAAAAATATACAATTGAAAGCCCAACATTTCAGTACTGTTCCATAATCCAATACTGTATCATCAGATAGAAAAACATAGACAAAGACAAGTTACACATACTGTTTGACAATGCACATTTTTGGCTCAAAAAGACAGTTTCATCTTTATAGTTGTTATTATCTCTTCAGAGTAGGCCACTTCCGACATAAAATGGATATCAATGGGCCGTTCCACAAATTGTTCAAAGTTCTACAAAACACGACAGTAAACAACGTGTGATAGTGGGACAAGTGCCTGCAGTATTTGGTTTTAGTTGGTTTGACATCAGGAAGGGGCCCATTGGATCATCAGTATAGCCTACTGAAGTTCTTTACGAAATGTACACAATATACAAATATGCATTCATCATTTCATGGACAAATTGCACTATGAAATTCTTCCGAAAATTCTTCATTAAATAATATTGTGCATATTCATATCTTCATTAACAATCTGTATCATTGATAATGTATATCCAATATACTGTAGTCAAATATTGTAGGCATCAAATCTAAAGAATTATTTGAGTAAAAAAAGAAAATGCTGTTATGGTGCGGGTAATGTGGTTTACCCGATCTCAATGTCAGGTTTAAAAAGTTGGAAGAGATTAGAATTTACATAATAAGCATTGCCAATATTATAATTTAAAAAAAAAATTAGTATTAATAACAAAATACTTCAATCAGAATAATGTCTTAACAACCTGAAGCACAAAGCAAAATAACTCTTTAAAACAAATATGAAATAATAGTTATATTAATGGAATAGTATGGTTGTTTCAAATTAATAAGTGAATAACATTTTAATTGAGATGATGAAGATCTTGTTAGTGATGACCATAATGATGAAAATAATATTTTGGCAATAAATATGTTGACGATGGGGGACAATGATAGCGATGATGTAATTACACTACAGCTGAAATTGCCATGCTAGAATTTAAAAAATAATTGTTCGTATACATTTAAATGAACTACACTAAAGTTATTCTAAGGGCTGTGGCTATTGTTACACCAGTTTTAAAATTCCTAATTCTGATTTGATATTATTGACAGATCCAATCCATACACACAATAACATCAAATTATAATTAGACATTCTTTCTAGATACAGTATTCTTTACTGATGTAAAAATAGACACTCACTACTTTTTAATTACATTGATAGTAATCTTTGATACTGCTAAACATGACTTTGCAAAATGTTAATAAAGTTTGTAGCAGCTATGGTGATAATATATGAAGAGCAAGAACATTAACTTTTTTAAAGTGCACTTGTTATTGATATTATTTTTAGTGATTTGATGTTAAAAATAACACAAACCAGATGTGAAATGATTTAGATCGTACACATTGTGACAAAAGCTACTAAATTTCTAAAACTCCAATCAAGGTAAGTATAACTTATGCAACATATTTGTACTGGTAATAAAAATTAAAATGAGTACAGTATTTTTTAGAGTACTATACTAAACAGAAAAAATAATGTTTTGATTTTAACAACATATAATATCCACTTAACTCTATTTTTGAATTGACTATAATTATGTCCAGTAACTAAGGAAAGAATTTCAAAGCATGCACAATGAAAATATATAATAGTTTGACTATAGCTGTGACACCTATCATGTCTATTTGTTATTTCTTCTTTTTCTTTTTTGCCTTTTTTTGTCGACCTCCTTTTCCACTTTTTTTCCTTGTGACAACCTCTAAAGTTTGATGTACTTCTTCGTCATCATTCTCTTCTCTTATTTGCTCAGCAACCTCATCAAGTTTTTGGTTTGTGTTATTTATTGTACCTGTTAGAAGAAAAGTACTTATCTTTATTTGAAGAAAATCCTGGTTTCCTGCTTCCTAAATCCTTAAGGTCATTCATATTTAAATTATATACTTTTGACAAATATATAATGATAATGTCACTTTTGTAAAAGCAGACTCTTCAT